CTGGACGATGAGCACAGATCCTTTTCCTCTGCCCTGCTTATGGCCTGATCATAAGAGTCTACTATTACCTGACAGTCTGTTAGATCAAAGAGAACCAATCGGATTTTCTCACTGAATTATAAATTGTTATTTCTTTTGTCTTTTCTGTTTTATTTTCTCATTTTCCCCACTTGTTTCATGATTTCCAAGGTGATCTACTGGCATCCATCTGCTCTGTCTGTTCAAATGCAGCCACCCATCTTTAAAATCCATTTATTCCATATAGATCCACTATCCAGGCACTGAGCTAGATTCTAAGAAATAGCAGTGAACAAGACATGGTCCTGTTCTCTAGTGGAGGAGGTGGACATTAGACAATACCACTGTAACGTAATAAGTGCTGTGGAGGAAAAGAACAGGATGCTTTAAGACCGTTTAGTCTCACTCGCTATCTAATGCTCTTTGGGCCAACCAGATGCTCTAAGATACATAAACTTAGTCTCTGTCCCTGAGATCCTGGGTTGACTAGTTATATGGACATTTGGGTAGGGTATGTGTAGGTGTGTTTGTGTGTGTGCATCAATTTACACCAGAACATCAGTAAAAGTCTCTCTTAAAAAGTCACATGTAAGCTGAGACCTGCAGGATGAATGGGTCAGCCAGGCAGTGGGGTGGGGTGGGAGGCATTCTGAAAGAACATTCTGATAAGAAGTAAGGGCTAGAGGTGAGAAGGACTTCAGTGCATTTGAGAAACAGAAACAAGGCCAGGAAGGATGGAGCAGTGAGTGAGAAGAGATGAGGATGGAGATGAGGCAGGGGCAGACCGTGCAGTCATGTGGGTCACTTTGATTCTTAACATTACCCTAAAGGCAATGGGCAGCCACTGAAGCCTTCCCAAGCTGATGAGGGGTGGATGCTGGAAATTACTTGGAAATAGGACTTGGAGACTAAGAAGCCTGGGAAATGACATCAAGGAGGAGGCCTGCACCTGAGGACTCCTGCACATCCTTTAAGGCACAACTCGAATGTGGCCTCTCTCACTAGCTTTCTTTGATCCCTACATTGCAATTTATTGCTCCTTCACCTGTGTTTTCTAGAAATGTGTATACACCCGTTTTAGAGTTACATAATGTTTTCTCTGACATTTTTAAGTTTTGAGGGGTGACAGGGTTACATGAACAATGAGAGACACAGAATTTATTAATACAGTCAAACAAAATATACTACACAGGTAATCTGCCACATAGTCAACAACAGATAGATTTTTTTACTGTTTTTCATGGTAATCAGACTTGGGTGTTTACATGTACGAACAGCCCTGCACACCAGTGGGGAAAGCATACAGCTCACCTCATGAGGAATGTAATCGGGAGGCAGTTTGCTCAGCATATCTTCAGATAATCTGTAAACAATGGCTTCCCGGGTCTCTCCCCCACCACCTCCACTCTCTTTGGGTTGAATGTTGGTAATTGTGTCAAGAACAGCAGAGGCAGTGTTACTCTGATACCTGACAAACACACACACACACACACACACACATATCCTTGGATCCTTGACTTCTGATAACTTTTAATTTTGTTGTTTTCATAGGATTTTCCCCCTCAGAGTGATTTGTATTTTTCTTATACTTTATATGACTTTTAAAAACTAGGATTGCACCATACTTCAAAATTCAAGAATGAGTTGCAAATGCCTTTTGAGACACACACATACACACACACACACACATCTCCCAAACACAGAATAATCAGAAAGATAAAATATGAGGGTGAAGAAATATTATTACTTTATCAACACAGGTCTTTAAAGGTTAAGAAAAGAAAACCACAGAAAATTTCCATTTATGCTAAGAAAATCAGAGTTCATTCTTCCTACCTACTGTTCTAGCTACAAATAAAAAAGAGAAAGACCCCATATCTGGAATTCTCAGGAGCTCTGTTGGCTCACCTCCAGCTTAAATTCTCTTTGGAGGCACACTCTGCACCTGTCGCTTGGTGTGAACAGCTCACACTACTGCGGGCATGACCATCTTGCTCTATGCTGGCTCTGGCCAAGTTTACTGGCGCTCCGGGGAGAGGTTGATGGAAATGCCGTTGCTGCTACATCTCACCTAAGAAATCACTTTCATAGTGGATGGTTTTATTTTTTTATGAGGTGATCTGAAAACAGTCCTCAAAGCATAGATGCTGGGAAGAAGCCCTGAAAAGTTGATCCGTTTTGCATGAGTTGGACAAGCTCTCCAGATCATCTCCCCACCACACATTTTCTTAGGCACAGAATGTCATTCCCTGGTATTCCAGAGCTGTACACCTTACATTTCTTTTTCCACAATGTGATTTTATGTTTGCAAAGATATGAAAATCAAAAGCCTAGCCAGCTAGCTATAATGAAAAATTGCAAATATCTCTACATGCCTCAAAAGCCCAGGGGCTTTAAGGAAAGTAGTCCCCCAAAATGCTCTGAGATGAAGAACAGAAACTATAATGTTCCTTTGAGCTTTGGTCCTGAGTTACTTCTTGAAGAAAATTTCGCTTTGGAGTAAATATGGGAAGAAGCTCATATTGTCCTTTTAGCTTGGTGGTTCTGGAGAGCCAGGGTCATGGATAATAAAAATGCAAAGGAATGGAGAAACAGAACTGTCTATAAAATAAGCAGTTACCTACCTAATGAGATATTAGTGCACTGTCATATCCAAATCGGCCTAGATTCACACACACCTTTCCATACGAAATATCAATGAGTATAATCTTTTTTAAAGTCTAAAACTCAAAAGCAACAGCTAATACTAAAAGAAATGCATTTAAATGCGTCCTGCATAGAAATGAATATAAAAGTTGTAATAAGGCATTTGATAAATTCCAGAAGGTACAAAAATATGCATAACCACTAATGAGAAAAAGAGTGAAAATAAATAACCATTTTGACATTGAGATAGTTGAATTTGCAGAGTCTATGGTACCTCATAAATCTAGATAATAAAATGTGAATAAACTATGCATTTCGATGGTTCCTGACACCAAGATATCTAAGCTCTTGGGAGAGATTTTACTTATTCTAAAGCATTTATTCAGGTTGACTTCCCTCCCCTACTTCAGAGATTCTGCATCTTAACCAAGGACCAAAAAGAGAGACCTGTGGTCCCCTTTCCCAAATCTCTCTCCTCTCTTAAATTTACGAATGCTAACTTCAGAGTGCAGATTCTGATAAACAGGGAACACAAAGTTCTCCACCATGACCCAATTATAGTCCGTGAGCCTATCTAGAAGCAAGAATGTCGTTAAGTGGCATGGACAGTCAGATGAATTAGTGATTCCTCTGGCTGGGAACATCCACACAGGCTTAGCCAGTGTATCTCAGAGAGTCCTGCCCTTTTCATGGTTTCAACTGTTATCTCTGCACACATGCTCTCAAATCTCTCACCTGGGCTCCAGGCCATGTTTCTCACCCCACTCAGATATATCCTGTTGTCTTTCTCAACTCAACAGAACTATATAACTTCCCATCAAATGCACTCCTGTTCCCAGCTCCTCCACTATCCCAGCTCCAATACCAGAAACGTCAGGGGCATCTGTGATTACTTCTTTCATTTCACACATCTTGCTGGAGTGGGAAGGGTATCATTGGGAGACCTGGGGAAGCTTCATCCGTTATTACTTACTGCCTCCTGGTGGCTGGTGGGGAAACAGCAAGGGGTTGTAGCAAAGCCCTCCAAGAAGGCAAGCTCAACTTACCAGGAAGAGTTGGGGCAAGATTCCATTCACCAGATTTTTGAGAGCCCAGAGCAAAGAAGAATGAAACATAGGACAAAGCTCACCCAGAGACCAAGAAAATTACCTAATTCATAGCTGCAGAACAGAGCATACTGCCTGAGCAAGAACCTGGAATGGGCCAAGACATGCTGAGAGGAGGAGCTCTGGGGTGGGTGGGGAAGATCCAAGGACAGACCAAATGGGAAGTTAAAAAGGAAGAGAGATCAGAGAAGGTGGGTCACAGGTCTCACAGGTCTGCCAGTTGTCTCTAGTGGAAATAATCCTCCATTTAAGGCAGAGGTGCGGAGTCTTCTACCTGACGTTCCTCAGTGTGCTGAGAGATTACAAAATCCTAACACTCTATTTTTGCAGAAGCTAGCTTACAACATCCTACAGCATGCGTGCCAGTGACGGCATCTGGACCTCTGGACAGAGCTGTGAAGAGAGACTTGACCAAAGACAGAAGGTTCACTATGCCCTCTCTACCCACAAGTTAGACAGATAAAAACTACAGAAGGTTGTAAGCCATTGCTCTATATTCACTAAGCCCTATCTGTCCCCTTTTGGGACTGGTCCTGCAGCTGTGCTCCACCCTCTCCATCCTCTCATCATCCCTTATCTAAGTCTGTACCCTCACACACCTGGATTTGCCCACGTGGTCTCTAAGATGGTCTGCCGTTCACCACAGTGCTCCAGCCAGCGCTGGAGACAAAGGCCTTGCCAGCAGTGGCAGAGAGCTTGCATTTCATTCTGAGTGCTGTGGGAAGCCACTGAGATGGAGAAGAGGCAGGAGACTCACGGGTTCAGTGTGGGGCTTTTCAAGATGGAGCTGCCTGGAAGACACTGCAGTGGATATCACATAGAAATCCTGGCTTCTGGTGTGGTGTTCATCTGTTCCAGTGCTAAGTTCCCCCTTCCTGTTTCTCAGCAGTTTCTCTGGGATGCATTGGCACACCATAGCAAAGTGCTTTAACAGAACTGCCTGGATAGATTGTACTAGGAGAGTTAGCACATTCTTTTTGGAAAGAGACTAAAGTGGCTTCAAACTGTCATTAGATTAAGGTCTACAGAGCTAGAGTTTTGTCCACACATCTATTAGAAGTTTATTGAGTGGGCCAGCCCCGTGGCTCACTTGGGAGAGTGCAGTGCTGGTAGCACCGAGGCCGTGGGTTCAGATCCTATATAGGGATGGCTGGTGCACTCACTGGCTGAGAGCAGTGCGGACGACACCAAGCTGAGGGTTGCGATCCCCTTACCAGTCAAAAAAAAAAAAAAAGAAGTTTATTGAGTAAGCTGGACTCAGTATACTCCATTCTTTCCCATACTGTACTGAGTCCAGCTCATTCAAGTAGGTTAAAGGCTAATTTGCTTAACTCTGTGAAAATAAATAGAAAAACCTAGATAAAAAAAATAATTTCCTTGGAGATGCAGTGTTCAAAAGTTGACTACAGGGCCGGCCCGGTGGCGCACTGGATAGTGCGCCGCTTGGGAAGCGCTGCGGCGCTCCCGCCCGAGGGTTCGGATCCCACATACGGACCGGTTCCCGCTCACTGGCTGAGCGAGGCGCGGGAGCAACGCCGAGGGTTGCAATCCCGTTGCCGGTCCCCGGTCCGGTACGGGGGCAACACTGAGGGTTGCGATCCGTTGCCGGACACGGAAAAAGACAAAAGACAAAAAAAAAAAAAAAAAAAAAAAAAATTGACTACAGTGGTGACAGAACAAGAAAGATATCAAAAAACTAGCACCATCAAAAAGCACTGGGCCTAGATGGTTTTGTGAGAGAATTCTACCAAACCTTCAAGCCTCCGATGCTACACAAATTGATCCAGAGCTTAGGATAACTTCCAAATTTTTATAAAGCGAATATAATATTGATTTATAATTAAACCTGATAAAGATACCACCCAAAAAACCAGACCAATCTCATTTATAAATATTAATGAAAAAAACCCCAATGAACTATTACTAAAGTCCATCACCACATTAACAGACCAAGTAGTATCAATTTCAGGAATGCAAAAATAATGTTAATTGGGAGATCAATTAATACAATTCACCAAATTTCTAGGTATTTGGGGAAAATCATATAATTATCTCTGTAGATGCTGAAAGGCATTCAACAAAATTCAAAACCCATTTCTGATAAAAACAGAAAAATAAACATGCAATTATAGGTAGGAAAAGCCTAGGGAAAAAAAAAAGTGAGGGGCAACTAGCACTACCAGATAGAAAAACATACTGTGAAGTCTCTAATTTTAAAACAGACTGCTACAGAATAGAAAGTCCAGAAATGGAACCACATACATATGGAAATTCTGTCTATGACAAAGGAAGTATCTCAAATCAATGGTGATGGGATGACTGGATTGCTACTTGGAAAAAGATAAATTTTCATTTATGCCTATGCCACAGTAAATTTTGAATGGATAAAAAAATAATAATAAATGTAAAAAGTGAAACCATTCAAGTACTGGAAGAAAATATGGGTTATTCCTTTATAACCTGATATGGGAAAAGACTTTCTTACTATTACTAAAAATCCAGACATACAACAACAAAAGAATTCATAAATTTGATTACATAAGACAAAAGTAAAACAAAACAAAACAATAACAAACTTCCACCTGGCCAACAACAACAAAAATATCATAAGCAAAGTTAAAATCAAATGACAAAATGAGAAAAAAATATTTGCAATATATATCCCAAATAAAGGGCTGGTATTCTTAAAATATAAATAATCCTATTTTTTATTTTTTTTAAATGTTTTGTTTATTTTTATTTAATCCAAAATATTTGAACATTTACTGGTACATATTTGTCGGGTACAGTGTGTTGTTCCGGTAAATTCATACACTGCACAATGCATCACTTAGTGTAGACAGCATAGTTTTATACCCCTTAGTCTGCCACTTCTTCTAACCCATCCACCCACCCCAGGGCTTCTGGTAATTGTTATTCTGCTCTCTACTATAAGAATCACTTTTTTGATAATTCTTAAAAATCAAAGAAAAATAATTAAAACTCTACTGAAAAAAATGGGCAAACTATATCTAAATAGTCCTTAAGTATATGAAAATTTGCTCAATTTCACTCAAAATAAGAGAAAGTAATTTAAAACTATGCTGAGGTACAGTTTCTCACTGTCATACCAGTGAAAATTCAAATGCTTCATCAACACTGACAAGATCCTGAAGAAATAGGTTGCAAGTAAGAGTGCAAAATAGTACAACCCTATGTAAGTGAATTTGGTGGTATTCACTAAATCTCAATCGAGCAATCCCACTCATAGCAATTTACCCTGAAATACATACCCAACAGTATGAGAAACCATAAGCATAAGGTTATTAATTGAGAAATTATTTGAAGTAGCAAAATATTGGAAACAACCTAAATACCCATCCATAGGAGGATGGTTTAATAAACTACAACATGTATAAACAATGGAGTAGCATGCAGCTGTAAAAAATGAGAAAGATATATATATGAACTGACATAGAGTGATTTACAGGATACACTCTTAAGTGAAAAAAGCAAGACACAAAATAATACATATAATATGGCAATTTTGTATAAGAAAGAAAGGGTAATAAGAATATGTATATATGTATGTGCATGCAAAAAGAAACACAGAAAGCTAACCCAGAAACTGTGTTTGATTTCCCATAAAGGAAGGGGGGATTGGGTCAGAAGGGTATGAGACTTCTCTAAGAACGTCTTATCTTAGTTGTGACTTTTGAACCATGCTCATGTTTTACATATTCAAAACAATAACAAGGAAGGGGAAAAAACCTAAAATGTAATGCAAACAGAAACAAATGACATAACAAATGAACATAACTATAACATAACACAACTATATACCAACTGATAGCATAACCACACAGAAAAAACAATTAATTGAGTGACTTTTAAACGCAATACTCTGTATACCCTCAGTGGGATAAATTCTATGGACAAACACAACGAAGGTATCTTTTGTTCAAAGACCTCTACTTAGTAGATCTGTTGCTGGTAGTGGCATTAGCATATTAATTTCAAAAAAGTGAGTAAATATATAGAAGTTTCTAGAAACCAGATTTTTACTGTGGGAGGAAGAGACATCATTATGGAATGAGGGAGACAAGGAAGGACCCTGAGGAGTACAACTGGAATTGGAATTATTTGTATTAGTTCATGGTGTTTTAAAAAATACGCACTTCCTAGCTCTGTCCTCTGAGAGAGCCTTCAAGCACACACACACACACATGCATACACACAGACACACGTAGAAACAGATGTGGCTATATGTGGATATAGCTGTAGATAATAAATACACAAAGATATGTATACATATAGAAAGATGAAAAGTAAATGGGACAAAATGTTAACAACTGTTGAATCTAGGTGGAAGATATACGGTGTTCACAGCACTTGCAATTTTCCTGAGGGTTTGTAATAGTTCAAAATAAAAAGTCAAAGGGGGAAAAAGTTTTGTCTTTATGATGGCTTCCAATCCCATTTACATTTTTGTTATATTTCTTTGGACTTTTTCTAGCTCTGGTACATCTTTCTGAGAGTTGGTGACCAAAACTGCTTATGATAAGGCGTAGGCACGCCATCACTGAGTCAGGGTGAGATTGTTTCATTTTTGTTTTACATACTCTTTGGTAGGATCCTGTAGAACCCAACAAGATCAGATTATCCAGGAACCAGCTATCATGACTCCTCAAGCTCTTGCCAAGGACAGAATCAAAGTTCTGAGCCCTCATATGTGAACATTTTCAATTATAAATTCACAAGTGTATCAAGACTTATTGGCTGTTTTTCTGCCCAGCCACGTGAACTCATGAGATCTTTCTATAGACTATCCTCATTGATCAGATTCTTCACAATCTAGAAGAATTTAGTATTGTTAATTCACAAGTGTATCAAGACTTATTGGCTGTTTTTCTGCCCAGCCACGTGAACTCATGAGACCTTTCTATAGACTATCCTCGTTGATCAGATTCTTCACAATCTAGAAGAATTTAGTATTGTTGATTTGGTTAAGTATTTCCTGAGCACCAGGCACTGCTGTAGCACTGGGGACACAGCAGTGAAAATACATGAAAGTTTTCAGATGTAACAGAACTTAGGTTTTAGTGGTGGTTGAAAGGTAATAACAAATAAATAATTTAAATATGGAGTATGCCCACTGGTGATGCAAACTATAGGAAAAAGCAAGCCAGGAGGAGAGGGTCTGGGGCAAGCGTTGGGGAGAGAGGATTGTAATTTTTAAATAAGGTAGTCAGGGAAAGGTTCATTGAAAAGATGATATTTAAGCAAAAACTGGAAGAGGTAAAAGGGTGAGCCACAATGATATCTGGGGGGAGGGCTGCTCCAGGAAGTGCGAGCACCCTTTGGTGGGCGCTGTCTGGCCTGGTATATTTAAGCAAAAACTGGAAGAGGTAAAAGGGTGAGCCACAATGATATCTGGGGGGAGGGCAGAGTTATCTGAGTAACAGGAAGCTAGGGAGAGCTGGAGCTGAGCTGACATGAGGGAAGGAGACGGCAGGAGGGAGTCAAGGCCAGGAGGTGCAGGCAGACGGTACTATTGGGACTTGTAAGTCAACTGTATGTAGTCACTGTCAGTCTTCAACCTTGACTCAGAGTGAGACAGGGGCCTCAGACAGTTCTGAGCAGAAGGGTGATGCGGGCTGAGTCACACTTTTAAAGTCCCAGCTAAAGCAAAACTACTTCGCTATACTCCCTCTTTCAGATGATGCCTGAGCTTATTCTCAAACCGGTCCCTGAGGAGTCCCTTTTATTTCTTCACTTCTTTCCCATTCCCAGCTAACTGACAGCCTCTTTAAACAACAGCTAGAGCTGCCACCAAAGAGTCATCATGGTCCTATCATGGGGTCTGAAAGGAGTGTTGCCATTCATGGGTTTTTTGGTCATGTCCATGTCTTTGAAGATGACAAGTGGCATGGGCGATACCAGAGGATATGGAGAAGGTCAAATTGTTGTGGTATAAAGAGGCCAACAGGGCATGCCTCACGCAGGGGGCAAGGTGGGTGTTCAGGGGTGGAAAGACAATGTAATTGGCAGCAAACTGGGATTCCCAGGATGCCCAGCAAGGCCAGAAAACGAGAAGGTGGGGAACACCCAATGGCGGAGAGTTATTAAAATCACAACAGTAGGCAAGTAACTAGGAGAGCCATACACCACCCTCATCAGTCATGACAGCTAAGATTCTGCCGGAGGAGTCCTGCTTTCTTCCATTTCCTGGAACACTCTCCTGGACACAAACTTTGTGGTCTCTCATTCATGGGCCACAGGGCAATGCCCATCCAAAGGAGCATCTCGGATGGGGCTTCCTGAACCTCCCCCCCCAACCCCCTACCACCGGCCCCGTGAAGCTGGGTGGTCCTGTTTTGCGGTAGGTATCTCTAAAGAGAGGAGGAATGAGATCTCATCCGAAGGATGGGTCAGAGAAGGGGCTTAGGACTGGAAAGCATTTCCTATCTCCTCACTCATGGCCTCTTAGCCTGATGGCTGCAGCAGGACCTCACGCTGAGCTGAGACCTGCCACTCTTTCCACCCCAGGCTGTGCATCTGTGTCGTGTGCTCGCTGCAATGTGCCCACCACGGGCAGTTCATGCCAGAAGGATGCAGGTGAGCAAGTAAAGGGAGAGGGACCCCCAAAGAAGGGTCAGGCAGGAATATAATTCTTCATCCTGCTGTCTGTACTCTCCTGGCCCTTTTATGTCCTATTTATGAGCATAACATTTTTAATGGATCTTTAAAGAAAGAGATGAGGAGCTGGGAGACTACTCTCCTATCAACAGAGAGCATCAATACCAATAACACTGACTGGTTTTATGACATGACAGGAGAAATAATCAATGCATAAATTAGAGCTTAACATTGTCATAAACACCAGAGCATCAGGATTTAGTGAGAGGAGAACAGACCAAGATATGACAAAGGTATAATTGGGAGACAGGAAGTGACACTATTTTTCACAGTAAAATAAGAAAAGGGGAAAGGAGAGATATTAAGAGAGAAAATGAAATGCAGTCTTTGCCAGGCTGAGTTAAAAATGACCCCTTCAAATTAAAAAATGCTAAGAACTTACGTGATATCAGCATTAGGGTGAAGCCCAAAGACTTCGGGGTTATCTAGGGATGGCAATGACTGGATGTATTCAAAATACTGGTCCAAGGTTTTGCACAAGGGGATTTTATATCCAGTATAAAAACAGAATGATGGTTCAAACATCTTCTCACTGAACCAGACCTGTATGTGAGAGAAAATTTTACAAAGTAAAACTGATGAGCATCTAAACGAAAACGGTCACTCTGAAGGAGGAAGGGTCACCTTATTTTCATCTTCATAGAGTTTTTAATATCGGTTTTGAGAGCACCTTAACAAAATCACTGATGGAATAATTAGCACATATACAAAGAAAAGAGAGAGGCCAGAACACAAAAACAAATCAGCCCGGACTCTGCTTAACACCAAAGAAGATATTTGCTAAGAGTGAAGAGGAGAGAGCAGCTTTGCAAGCCCACTCACTATTCACGTAATCTGACAGCCCTCAACGGCATGTTTGAAGGGGAGTATGAGCATTCTGCAAAGTCGATGAGCCAACATCTCCCCACTGAAGAGGAGACCTGGGCATTTTCATCGCCTCACATCCTCCGATGCGCGGCTCATGCCGGAGAACTGAGGTCATGCACAGTTGTGCCACAATGGCACTGGGCACCAGCACATGGCCAGGAAAGCTTCTCCTCACAAACGTCTCCCCTCCCACCCTGAGCTGGAGAGCTTCCTCTGTTAATTCAGTTACAGCCCCCTCCACAAGAAGCACATGTATCCAACCACCTTGTTGTTCACCTTAAGACATCCTTTTCTCATTCCATATGAATTGATTGACTTTCTGTAACAAAACAGCTGGAGAACAAATACACACTTGGTGTGAGCAGACCGATTCTGAAGAGGGAAAAAAATGATGCTGAATGTCTATGAGCCAGACTTTAGGCAATGACTTGAGTGTCTACCAGAGTGATTTTCCCAACAGGGAAGGAAATAACAGAAAGACAGGAGGAACAGAAATGCAGGTACAATGACCAAACCGCTCAGGGAACTCAATATGAAAGAGATGCTGAATGTCTATGAGCCAGACTTTAGGCAATGACTTGAGTGTCTACCAGAGTGATTTTCCCAGCAGGGAAGGAAATAACAGAAAGACAGGAGGAACAGAAATGCAGGTACAATGACCAAATCGCTCAGGGAACTCAATATGAAACAGATAAACAGTGTTGCTCACTCCTGCTGGTCATGCTTTCCCTTCTATCTTTCCTCCATATCCTTCTTCCAGCTCTTTTTAGGTCCTGTGATTGCTTTATTTGCCTCAGTTCTATCTATTCAAGTCCTGTGCACAAGGCTCTGAGTTTAGAACCAGAACAGAATGCAAAGACAAGAGATACACAGTACCTTCCTTCAAGGAGTTGTGACCTGATAGAGGGATAAGCCAATTACCTAATAACCACAATACAAAGTGCACTAAGGTAAAAGCCAGAGGAAATAAAAATTAGATAAGTACAAAGGAGGCTTACAACAGGAAGAAAGAATAGCCAAGTGGATGTTAGATAAGACTTTATCAAAGAGGTGATTTTGGAGATTAGCCTTGAAAGAGAGGATTTTGACAGGAGAGCCCGGGATTGGGGAGGCCACACAAGCAAAGGCATGAAATAACTGCTGCAAAAATGTGAGGCAGGCTGGGAAGATAATGAAATCTAGGGTACCTATAATGTAGTAGTAAGAGACAGGACAGGAGAAGTGAGGTGGGGGCGTATTATGGATGACTGTGGGTGTCACAGTGAGGACTGGTGCTTACTTAAGACATGGGAGGCAGGTAAAAGTTGTTAAGGAGAACAGTGATATGAGCATGGTCGTTATTTAGAAAGATTAGCTTTTTAGTGATGTGGATGACTTAAATTGCAGGAAGACACTCCATAGAGGGGAAGGCCATGGGTCTTCAGCACACAGATAACAAATGACCACATTAAATTCTGTGTTGCCAGATGACATGTATCTACAGAAGCAAAATGACGTTTCTTCCTATTTTTCCATTACTTTATTTATACACACAAATAGCTGAGTTTCACCAAATTTGGAGGCTATTTGGGGGTATAGTCAAAATACAGAATATGAAGTCCACATGGAATCACTTTGGGAGATGTTGGCAGGTTCATGCAAAAATAACCAGCTATCCGCCAGGAATACTGAATAAGGTTTTACAATTGTTGGTTTTAGGGGAGACACTCTGTTAAATGCTGAGAACAGAGAAAACAAATAGAGGTTCAAAGACAAACCCCAAATAGAATGTCACAGGGACAGACAGTCCAGTTTAAAGGTACTGATTTCAAATTAAACCACTTCTTCCGCAGGCAACTCTGGATAACATGGTTGGGGAAGAGTGGCAGCGGTGCGGGCCAGCCGGCTGGATCACAGGTAAGAGTACGGCTGAGAAGGAGGTAAGGCAGGGCAGGTGGAGTGTGGAGTCTCTGGGGCTTCTCTGCAGTCCTCCTCAAGAGGGTTTCTGCTGCCAGATTCAGGTGGTAACCTTCTGTGCTCAGAGCCAGAGACTCAAACTCACCTCTCCGGTTACGGAGGGGCCATCTGAAACAGGTCCAAGCTAGACTAGACAGAGGAATGAGTAAGGGGAAGAAACAGGTGAGACAGGACACTGGGGAGTTTGAAGAGCAAAGAGCAGCTTCTGTGTGAATAAGGGAACGAGCTGGTCAGTGGTCAGAGAACTGGAGCCACTGAAGGTGGAGCTACTCTAAGGAAAGTCCTGAAAGGGGCTGGAATAAGCGTGGGGAAGCTAGTCAGGAGTAAAAGAATGGAAAAACAGTTGGATGAACTTTTCATTTAGGGCAGTAATTGCTGAGGACAGAGTTCAGAGAAGCCAGCATCAGATGATATAAGGGAGAAACATAACCTGAGTGGGGAAGGAACGCCTGTTACTCAGGAGCAGTGGTGAACTGGGGCCTGGATGACGAACCCGTGCTTTTAGACTGGGAGTCTGCATGACCCAGACTGTCACCTCAGTGCTGCTTCCCTAGGCCAGGCCCAGCCCAGGGGATGGAGAACCTTGGGTTTCTAGGAGGTGGCTGAGGTTGGCTGATGAGTCTTCCGTTGTCAGATGTCAGGGTACAGAGAAGAAGTAGAGGAGGAAGAATGATAGGAGGTTGGGGTCAGAGCAGCAGTTGCCCAGCTTGAGATCTTGAAGGTGGGGCATGCTGCGTGAGCGAGGCTTCTCCTCTCTCCAGTGCTCATGGCTCAGCCATCTACCTTGAGGTGACAGATTAACACAGCAGCTTTCAACTGTAACCCAGACAGTGGCTCTGGCTCTGACATGGAGAGCAACGAGGCTCTCTTCAAAATCCCCTCCAATCTGAGGGTCAGCTGCAGTGCTCCAGCCACCTTCGAGTAAGCCCGTTTCAATAAAACAAAGAAAAACTGACCGAGGCAATTGGTTAATCAGAACTTTTCTTGAACTTAACTTTTTTTAGAAAAAGAGTCAAAGATGTGCTTTTAAAAAAAAGCTCATATAGGGGCCGGCCCAGTGGCGCACTGGATAAGTGCGCCGCTTGGGAAGCGCGGCGGCGCTCCTGCCCGAGGGTTCGGATCCCACATACAGACCGGTTCCCGCTCACTGGCTGAGCGAGGCGCGGGAGCAACACCGAGGGTTGCAATCCCGTTGCCGGTCCCCGGTCCGGTACGGGGGCAACACTGAGGGTTGCGATCCGTTGCCGGACACGGAAAAAGACAAAAGACAAAAAAAAAAAAAAAAAGCTCATATAAATTATTATAAAAATATCTAATTTTAGGTCGTGCTCTTGTGACAGTAAAAATTCAATCCAATCTACTCTTAGATAACTACAATCCTGGGCATAGAAAATTCTCAATCTGTTGAGATTAAATCGTGCTTATTATCATCAACAAACATGCATTCAATGTGTTCTAGGTGCTAGAGAGAAGAGGTTGAGAGACCCTGAAGACTCGGTTCTTATTCTAAGGGGCTTACAATCTAGTAAGGAAGGCAGAAGACGTGTATTAGGATCACACATCCCCTCTCCTACTCTCTGAGACAACTATTTATGTCTTATCCTCTCTTGTATCAAATCCCAAACTTCCTCTCCCCACCCTTCAGCCAATGACCTTGCTTCTTGTTTCACTCTGAACATACATGTGGACAGAAGAAAATGGCCTCATCTTCCTCCATCAAACCCATCCCTGCACCCACGCCCATGTCTTTCCCCCACCATCAGGAGCTGGCTGCCCTCCTTCTACCAGGAGGCGAGGAGGGGGATGTGGGGATGATTTGCAAAACAACTGCACACATATCAGCACATCCAAATTGGCCATGGTTGTAAAAATTATCATAATGAGTAATAGGCATGGGGAACAAAAATAAGGAGGAAACCAAATACCCCACAATAGTAACATGGAAGGAACAGATCAAAAGGTTTGAGTTAAAGCCTACGAGGACCAAATGGTTAGATTTAGAAATATAAGCGCCAGAAATAGAATACAGAATTTTCAAACATTGAGAGAGAAATAAAAAGACATTTTAAAAAATCAGGAAAGAAAGGAAAAAAAAGATAAAGAAAAAGCACGGTTAATGAAAACCACAAAATGAAATGGTAGAAATAAAACATAGCAATAATCACAAAAGCAAAATGATTAATTTGACTGTTAAAATACAAAGACCTCAGCTTGGATGTAAAAAATTCTAGCTATTTGTTATTTAGTAGAGATAAATCTAAAACATAATGGCACAGAAATGTTGAAACAAAAGTAATAGATATATCAGATGTATTAAAATTAAGTACTTCTAATCATCAAAAGACTAATAAGAGAGTGAAAAGGGAGACTCAGAGTGAGGAAAGATATTTGCAACCACATAAGCAACAAAGGATTTGTATACAAAACATACAAAAAGATTCTTCAAATCAATTTTTTTAAAAAAAGATAAAACAACCCATAATAAAAATAGGCAAAAATGTACAAGCATGTTATATATTTTTTCTATAAAAGAAAAAATAAAAATGGCCAATAAATATGTAAGGGTGCTTCACTCCATTAGTATTCATAGAAATAAAAATTAAAACCAAAACGAGATACCATTATATACCCACCAGACAGCTAACATTAAAGAGACTGAGTATGCCCAATGTTGGTAAGGATGTGGAGAGGGAACTTGAGCATCCTTGGATTTTGGTATCCACAGGGGTCCTGGAACCAATTCCCTGTAGATACCAAGGGATGACTGTACTTCATATATTTAATATTTATATATACTTTAATATATACTTCTAAAATATTTTAAATGGAAGATGCAAGTCAGATGCATATTTTCATTCCAGGGTACTTCAGAAAGTTCGTGGAAAGATTGTATTATCTTTTAATTCTCTTTTTCCACAAACTTTTTGAAGTACTCTCATAGTTTTTAAAAGTAAGATAATTTTTTCTTTATTTTACCAGGCAAAAATGAACTAAAGGTCAATTCCTCTTCCTCAGCTTCCTTGACATCTCAGTTGATCATTTCTTCTCTCTTCGTACATGAAAGTACTCAGGACCTTGACCTCAGCTTTTTCCTTTTCTCTTCTTTTCTCTCTCTATTCTTTCGCCTAGATGATGACCTCATCCAGTAAGTAACCTGACTTAAAATACTGTCTATATGCTGACAAATTCCAGACCTTTATCTCTGGTCTTGAGCTCTCCCCTGAGCTCCAGATCTGTAAATCCAGCTGCTTTGTTTATCTACATTCATTCATTCATTCATTCATTCATTCATTCTCTTATTCAACAAATACTTATCGAGCACCTTCTATGTGAGAGGCTCTGTTTCAGGTGCTGGGAATTCAGCAGTGATGTAATTGGACAAAGTCCCTGCCCTCATGGTGCTTACAGTCTTAGACAACTCCATTTGGATGTATAATAGACATCTCAAATGTTACATGATCAAAACAGAACTCCTAATTTCCAGCCCCAGACAATAAAACTCATTCTTTCTGCTGTCCTTCCCCTTCTCTGTAAATAGTCCTATTCTTTTTCCAGTTGCTGGTACTCTCTGTAAAACATATACTGAAGCTAAGCACTTCTCACAGTCTCCACTGCTCAAACTCTGATTTTAGGTACTTTTATAATTACTCTAACAAAATATACTTACTGAGACATCTTTTTCCTCCTTTGAATATCAGATAAAGAAGTAAGTTTCTCACACTCCTTAGTTTATTTTCATGAATCTAGGCTATGTTTTGTTTTAATTTTTTCCCAGTCTGCCCTGATATCCACTCATAATTTCCTTCCCTCTGAGAGCATTTATTTAAATGTACTTGATATATGTCCTTGATTGTGTATTTATCCTCATGAAATACATATGTATTACTTCACAGATCTCATTTTATTTTCTTTAAGCTTGGCATTCAACACTTTTTTTAAGATCTATACATGATGTCATATAGATCACTTCTTCCAAGAAATGGCATTATATACCACCATAGGCACCTACAACATGTCACTTGTCTATTCCCCCTGATATTGCCTTCAACTTCCCACTACCACAAATGACGCTATAAATAATATCTTTGTACATTCTCAGAATTTCTCCGCGACACATACCTGGGAGTAGGATTCTGGTTCCAAAGGTAGCCACATCACACACCAGACTGCACCCCAAAAGGGTGAGCAACAGTATTCCATTGTGCTCATCAACTATGTCTTATCTGCTCCCCTAGAATTCTTAGGACTTAGACACTTAGGACTGTCTGCACTATTGGCTACTGTGGGCTCACAACACTGTCCCTCCCCAGGAACTTTCCCAGGCAGAAGACAGTTGCCTCTGCCAAGGTCATGACTTGAGGGAAGGGCAAGGGATGAGGGGCACCAAAATGAGAGTCTCCATCTCAGGGTCTGTTTCCAGAGAAACCAATCTATGACGATTGCCTTCAGCTACATGCACAATGTTGCCATGAACATTTTTGTACATGCCCATTTGTGGGCTTTTTCTAGAAATAGATCTATCTTGGATATTTAATTTCAGTAAGCATTCCTGAACTGCTTTCCAGGAGGTCTGTACCAATTTAACCTGGCAGCAGCAGAGCTCCTGCCTCCAGACATCCTTACCAACACTTACTATTTTCCACCTTTCTCCACATATGACTTCAAGAAAAACTTGCAAAAATATGCAAAGGTTAAAAGAAAAATCAGTTTTCTGGTCAGCCCCCAGTTCACCAAAGTAGCCCCAAAGCTTGTGCTTTGCTGAGGTTTTAATTTTGTTAAGGGGAAAAAAAATCATACAAACAGAATTACTGATATAGGTCCTAATATAAAGAATTCAATAACCACAAAATATTCACACATCTGATTTTTTCTACTTAGATAATGTATATTGCTTCTCTAAAATGCAAAAATTTTAAAAAGAGTTTGGGTCTGGTAGATGTTATTTATAGTATTCTTCCGTGGTGTGAAAGCCATAATTGCTAAGGAATAATTTTCTCTAGAAAATGTTTATCAACATGCCATATGTAGATTTTATTTGGCACAGATAAAAAAATAATGAATACTTCATCAATTTTCAATTGCCCATCCTAATAGAAGAGATGAGAAAACTCAGATTATGGTTAATTCCCCAGTCACTTATTTGGAGGCTTAAAATCACCATCAGACTTTCAGAGGTGGAGACCTAGAAATGATGCCCAATGTCTTTCTCACAGGGAATGTGCTGGGGAATGGGGAGCATGGGGGAGGGGGGAGCCCCTGCACGTGTAGTTCATCTATACAGGAAAGGAGTCAAATAGATCACTAGTTGTGGTTTGTTTTTACGTGTGTGTGTGTGTGTGTGTGTGCGCACGCGTGTGTGCATGTGTGCGCGCGCGCGCATGTGCACACACTTCTTGGCTAATTCTTTTCAGCAGCTCTGCTTTATAGATTTTTTTCCCTTAAGTCTGGCATACCTATTACAAACAAAAAATATTCTTATTTAAAAGGAAAAATGCAATGAAATGTGTTTCCATGCTTTTTTTTCTTAATTTACTTACTCTAGCAAAGCAATTAAGTAGACGTTTATCAAAATCGTCTGTCACTCTGCCTCCATATTGTACTTCTCCAATCATGTACCGAACTGTAGTCCACGACACACCCTTTATTAAAAATAAAAAAGGATTATTCGTGGTCAACCCAAACAAATAATTATAAACATTTTAGGTCTTTCCCTAGAGGCAAAGTATAAAAAAGAGAGCACTAGCTAGAATGCATTTAAAATTATTCATTATCTTATATTAATAACTCTTTCACTATCATGTGGCTGAAACAGTTCATTCACCTAAGAAAAATCTATAAAACTAAACACTAGTGAATATATTGTCCATAGCTTATTTAATATAGGAAAAAGGCTATTTTTCACTCTGTGGAAATAATCACCTATAATACTTATTATATTAATGCCAAGCTGTTGGAGGGGGAAAGTGGTATTTAGTAAAGAAAAGAGAAAAATCAAGTAAGCAACACTTTCATATGCTTTCTCAGTAATATATTTTCTAGAATCAATATAACAACTAGAAAATTATTTATTCACAAAACTTTTCTAAAATGCAATCCTTTGCCATCTCATTTTGTGAGCTATAACTACATCAAAGTATTTATTAATTTCTATAGCAATTTTATGTTAACGATATATTTCAGATATTAGTAGTTTTTAATTTAAAAAACTCTTCAATGCATTGGGGTAGGAGAAGGGAGGGTGCTTGATTCTTATTTACTTTCTCTTGGTTAAAATTTTATTTTTCAGCTTGGTTGCCTTTCAAAGCAACTATTCCAAGGTAATTATTATTTTTATATACCAAAATGATAAATAACCATGGAATAGAAACCCATATAATACAATTTTTCATCAAACTGCCATTCTCTTAATTTGATATCCTTTTGTCATTTCAAGGAAAAATGATGGTTTGGTTCTAGAGTTCCCCCCACCTAAGTAAATATTCATCAGGGATCACATCACCACACTGATAATGCAGTACCGATAACTATCTTGAAAACCTACTATGGGAACGAAGACAGTAGAAAGTGGTATATATTGAGCCCTTATTGTGCACCATATACTATGCTTTCACAAATACTAACTCATTTATTCCTCACAGAGACCATGGCCATTTTATAGGTGAGGAAACATCTCTGAGAGTCTCATTAACTTGCCCAAGGTCATGGAAAAACCAGATTTCCATCCCTTTATGACGTAAGTGTGAAAGGACAACTGGATTTGCTTCCTTAGTTCTGTGAGCCTGAGGAAGTCTCTTAGTCTTTCTTGTCTGTCCTCATCAGTAAAACAGGGATAACAGCAGTGCCTTCTGAACCTACCTCACAGAGTTCTGAAGATAAAAATGAGATCCTGCATCCACAGCACTTTGAAAACTGTGAAGTGCCATATGATGATTTGTACCCATTATTAGAAGTTATTGATATTTACATGCATGAGCTTAACTGTTAAGAAGTGACTTAAGGTGACAAAAAACTTTCATGTGAGCTGGCAGATACCAACTCTATTTTTCAGGAGGCATGAGTAAGATCAATAAAGAAAAGTTTGACTTAAGGCATACCTTCTTCTTGAAGGGCACTGGGCACTTGGGTGGGATATGAGCAAGGCTGCTGTACTTTGCAGCACACTCAGTTTTATCACAAACAGTCAGCTTCTGTAGTTTGGGAGTTTATGTGGCCAAGGGTTGAGGCAGGGAGGGAGAGGGGGGCTGGACCAGCAAATAGCTGATTAGAATGACAAGTCCCTTTGAATGAGGGGATGGGGACCTCAGCAAGTTCATTCCATATCATAGACTGAAAATGACTAAAACCTTTATTTAAGGAAAGCAATAAAAATAGGAAAAAAACAATTTCACTCACTTTTTTAATATCACATTCATCAAGGTGATTCTGAATAAATTGAACACTGGCTGAAAAATCAGCAGAATTGAATTCATAGGGAATATTCCATCCTAAGGGACCAAATTTTCGTCGTTCCTTAAAGACATTAAAGAAGAGTAAGTATTGAGTGGGTTTTGTAAAATTGTACATAGCTGATTCCTTTATTATTATTAAAGTATAGTAAAATCAAGGCCATGTTATCAAAATAAGTTGACATCATCTTAAAAGAACATCACATTTAATTTTGGATATATTAACCATTAAAAATATTAATAGTTTATAAAAACAAATCTACAAATACTTGCCAACTTGGAGTTCTTAGGTTTAAAAAAATAGTCTAGGTCTCCAGTGACAACTCAAAAAAATGTAGTAGGTGCTGAATAAACATCTGTTGAATGATTTTTTATTCTAAATTGGACTCTTGAAAGTTTGAAATGTTAAATATAAGCTGAATTTCTCAAGATGAATAGCACTCACGAGAGTATAGACTCCCTGTTAGTTTCACTTTGTAATCCTGCCATTTCAGACACTGAAAACCAAAACCTCCTATTGTACACATGACACATCTGTCTTAAAACTTTCACATCACTCTCATTTGGTTCTCTCTACTTAACTGAATAAAGCCTTAAAGACTCCTGTGAAATAGTGGCTAACTGTTTAGAATTGCCAAATTACCCACAAATAATCAAACTGGACTCAGATCAAATTATTCAATTGCTTTGGTATTCTGCAGAACATTTTAAAGGTGTATAAGTGTTAGAACTGACATCTCCAGATCCTGATCACCCAGCAAATCACACTAATGAATCCAAATATTCCCATGCTATCAGCTTTTCCTGTTCCTGCACATAACCACCCTCTCAGGGAAGTCCAATGATTTATTTGAACTAGCCCCCGATCCTAGTGTCTAAAGTGAGGACACATGTGCAGAGTAGAATCCCTATACATCTGTGGGAAAATTTCACTCTACTTCTTTTATTTATTTATTTACTTATTTATTTCCGATATACAATGTGGTTGATCATTGCTGCCCACCACGGAAACCTCCCTCCCTCCTCCCTCTCCCCCCTCCCACCCAACAATGTCCCTTCTGTTTGCTTGTCGTACCAACTTCAAGGAATTGCAGTTGCTATGTCTTCTTCCCCCCTCCCCGGTTTGTGTGTGTGTGTGTGTGTGTGTGTGTGTGTGTGTGTGTGTGTGTG